GTAGAGTGCTTGCCTTGCATGCATGAGGCCCTGGGTTTGATTCCTCAGCACCACATAAGCAGAAAAAGCTGGAAGTGGTGCTGTGGCTCAAGTAGTAGAGCGCTTGCCTTGAGTGAAGAGCTGAGAGACAGCACCCAGACCCAGAGTTCTGGCCCCAAGACTGACAGAAAAAAAAAAAAAAGAATAAAAGGAATGCATGACATCTGTGTACACCTTGCTGTGTGAACATGTTTGAGGGAGTAACTTACAGAACTAAAAGAGATATGCACAGATCCACTGGGAGGTTTTTCACACACCCCCTACGGCTACTTAACTGAGCATAAAGCCATCTTACCTGTGTGAAAAGTATGAACTGGGCAAACTGCCAGGGGAGCATGAAGGCGGTATTGGCCAGGCAGAGAGCGAGGTAATACTTCTCTTGACCCAACGAGGACCTGCATGGAGAGAAAAGGCACCAGCCAGTTCTGCTATGAAGGTGGGCCATCTCCCAGCAATGCAGAATTCTTACAAAAGGACAAAATGGCCTTTGACCCAACACAAAGAAAATATAATGAGCTCTGAAAGTGGCTTCACTGAAAAGAATTGCAGATATCTGGGCCATTTTAAAAAAACTGCATTACCCATTTTCAGTGCAAAAGTTTCTTTCCCTGTAAATCTGTATGCCATTAAAAATTTAAGACTTGAGCCCTATGGCCTCAAAGTTCCCCCTGTCTGCAGAGCTGCAGTTTTCGGTCAACTACCACTTTTACGTTTCTGAAAACAGGGAGAATAGGGTAACAGGCAAATAATTAAGGAAAACATTCTAAAGCAACCAATTAGAAAGCAATTCTGGAATACAGTTGTGTTACTGCTGATGAAGGTTAGAGTCTGCAACATTGTTGGTAAGCAATGCCTTTCACCACAGGAGAGTTTAGTATCTTTAAAAAGAAAAGAAAGAAAGAAATGCAAACTCTAAGGTCTGCCCTGGGAAGGCAAGACAGACTCCTCTCTCCTCTTGGCCAAGCCTCTGCCCAGAACCTGTGTCACCCAGGTAACTGGCACACCTGTAGACAGTAATCTCCCTCTCCTCCCACATCACATCCTGGGCTGCCCAGGTTATACCTCCCATCAGGCCAAGCGAGGGTCCCAGATCCTGAGGTCACATCTACATCCAGTGTGGCCACACCTTCCCTCAGCCTGGCCACACCTTCTCTCCATCCCTTCCCTATTTCAACTCAAGTCAGCCCTCCGCTTGCCCATTTTCAGCCAGGTGGTCTCCACCATGCATGGTGGGACAGCAGTTTGGTAAAACAATAAACTTCTTTTCCTGCCTGAATATCGCATGGTGTTCTCCTTATCCGCTACCTAATTAGACCTAGTATCTTTAGCTTACATTACGCAAACCTTTTGTGCAAATAATGGACCAATAACTGCTCCTTTTGAAAAGCTTCTATTTGGTTTTTGACAAAGACTGTCTAAGAGTAGTTAAGTTTTCTGAAGCAAAAATGCAGATGTTCAAATTGTCTAGTAATATCACAAAAATATTCACTAGTCACTTGGTAATCTTATATTTCAGCAAACAGTGACTTTTGACTAAGATACAGAGGACAGCAAATGGCATCCCAGTCAAACTCCTCAGTCCTCTCAGGGGGACATTTCATCCCATGCAACCTTGAGATTCACCGCCAGCCACCAGCCCTAGGTGCCCTCCTCCCCTCCATTCAGTCATCATTGAATATGCCCCTGCTCTGAGGCTCCAGAGACAAGTGTGGCTTCCAGTGGCAGTACTTAAAAAAAAAATGCAGCCTCACTACATAACCCAAGCTGGCCTTGAACTCTCAATCACCTTGTCTCTGTCTGTTGGGAATGCAGGTTGGCACCACCGTATCGGGTCTAGGGAGAATTTTAAACATAAATGTGGCAGAGACGTGTATATATATATGTATAATCCACAAATTTACAGTTAGAGGGAAGGAAAGGAAAGGAAAGGAAAGGAAAGGAAAGGAAAGGAAAGGAAAGGAAAGGAAAGGAAAGGAAAAGAAAAGGGAAGAAAGGGAAGGAAGGAAGGAAGGAAGGAAGGAAGGAAGGAAGGAAGGAAGGAAGGAAGAAGGAAGGAAGGAAATGTGCACACAAATCATCTTCGTGTAAGGTAGAATCTACTGAGTAATTAGAACATGAAGTGTGTAAGGCTTCCTGGGAATGTGGAGAAGATATAGGTCATTTTTCCTCGGTGATGGGACTCACAAACATTCCTTAAGAGTTATTTCTGCAAAACAGTTATTTACAGTGTTCAGCCACTTGTTTCATTTTGTTTCTCTGACCTGTTAAATTTCCAAAATGCATATAAAAACAATCCCAAACAGTGTCCAAGAGAAACAACCCCTTGAGATGTATAGAAGCACATATATATATATATATATATATATATAATACGTATAAAATGGCTATCAATCACAAATATATATATTATATATATATATATATATATATATATATATATATATACGTATCCATTATGTATCTAACCCAGCATTTCTAGATTTACTGCACACAGAACCCTTCATGACACACAGAGGAGAACTGTGGTTTTTTTCCATTGAAACCAAAGTTGGGAAATCCATCGGTCAGAGTACCTAAGCTTTGAAAAATAATGTGATTGTTTCTCAGAACCTCTCCTCCCTGCAAACAATAGAAGGATACACGTTCTGATTTGTAAAACATATTACTGTTATTAGACACTTCAGTGGACATCAATTTTTATTAAGAGTAACTTTTAGACTATCTTCTTAACTCTACACTTCATCTATTCTGCAAATAGCATTTTTTAAGTCTACATTTAGTAGTTATAAGTCAGTAGGTCAAAGCAAATTTTACACTATGGCTTTGTTATATCGCTGAAAATTACCTGAGAATTCTAGTTAAAATATACATCTGAAGTACAAGGAATGGATAAGAGAAGCTTTCCCGGAGGGGGGGCGTCCACATGACCCGGGTGGCCTGAAATTAGGAAAACAGTTCATAACAAATGTTACTCCTTGAAAAACCAGCGGTTCGCGTTATCCAGCTTCCCCCAATCAGCTAACATAGGATTGCCTTAAACATACGAACTAGCCAGGGCCAAGTGCTCTGGGCTCATCCCATTCTAAACATGATGCCCAGCAGAGCATCTTGTTTTTGGAGATTGCTTAGTTTTGGGACATGGTCATCAAATAGAGAATGACCCAGCCCAAATTCCGTGAGACTCTTACCTCCAACTAACCACCAAAAGAGCCACAAGTGGCACTGTGGCTCAAAGGGTAGAGCACTAGCCTTGAGGGGAAAAAAAGCTCAGGGACAGCACCCAGGCCCTGAGTTCAAGCCCCAGGGCCAGCACACACACACACACACACACACACACACACACACACACACACACACACACACTAACTTAAGTCTATTTTTCCTCTTTTTATTGGCATATATTTATTGTGCAAAGAGGTTTCATCGCAATATTTTCACACATAAGTATTTTTTTTAAGCTGAGGTTGCAGAGGCAGACAGATGTCAAGTGAGAAATTCACCTTCATGATACAGGGACTGGATGCCAGTAACAAACGCAACCTTACTCTCCTCCATTTTCCTAATTTGAAACTTCCAAGAGGCCGGGAGGAAAGGAGGTGGGTACGGCCTATGGAGAGGGCTCCTGACTACAGTGTTTCCCTGTCTGTGTTTGTATTGACCCCAAACAAAGCCTTCCATCTCTTTTAAGCTCTGGTGATTTAAAGCTTTAGATCAACACAACTGAAATATAGGCTTTTAAAAAAAATAACAGAAGGTTCTTTCAAATATTGCCAAGTCACCAGTATTATGTAACTACATGCCATTTGATTATATTTCCTTCTTCCTACACAGCCTGTTTCTTAAAACATTATTCTCTAGAAAACATACCTCTCCATGGTTGAAAAAGTAGCACAGTACTGTAACAATGCCCCCCAACTGAGTCCCACTGGAGAAGAGAAAGAAATTGTAAGTCACAGAAAATACAGTGAGTTTTTCACAAAAGCATCTCAGAAATTAAAATTTATAGTTTTCTGTACTTAAAACATGGCATAAGCCATATACTAATAAATACTTCCTGTGTAGTTGGTATTTTAGTCTTAAAAATATAAGCAGAATATGTCTGAGTCAAGCGGAAAAGGTCAGATAAAGTTGATGTTGGGGAAATGAACCCTAAGATATGTATTCAAATGGTTTTTTTTCTTTCATGCGATTCTTCCTAACACATTTATAAGATGATTTCTTTGTTGCTTTGTATGTCCCTCCCCCCACGCTATAACCCCTGCTTTCACTGTATTTGATGTGGGTATAATTTGTGGAGGGGAAGGGGAAAAACAAATCGTTTAAATAGGGAT